TCATTGCCAACCACAGGGTCTGGTACATCGTAGGAGCTCAAGATATAACTGTTGAATGACTAAATTAACAAATGAATGAATGAATGAATATTCTATCAAAATTTTACTAAAGCCAAATTACCTTATTTTGTTATCGTGTTCTATTTTGTTTTTTAAACAGAACCAACCCAGGGTCCAAATGAGCCTGCATTTTGGACAATGTTAGCTAAAGGTAAACTCATAGTAGTTAGGTAGTTGGGAAAATGTTTTGATTTTCTGAAGTCTTCTGTAAGAAAGACAAGATCAGTGTAGATAGCTCTGATACTAAGAATTAGTAAATCAACCTTTTGCTGCCATCATCACATGTAATAACGAATGCAAAACAAACCCAGAAAGTTGATCGAGTGTCACACATTTTCTGATTCTCCCCCCCAAAAGTTATATCCTCCTGCAAATGTTACAGTCTAGTCATTTAATTTATTTATGATTAAAATTTTTAAATAAGGCTCCCACCCAGTATAATCCCTCTTTGTATTTGGAGCAGTATGATCAGAATCACATGGAGATACATGAATGAATGCAAAGTATACATCAAAATATATGCATGCATTAAAGTAATATATATATCATAAATTTACAAGCATGCATGTATAAATGTAATGTGCATATTATCTGTAGAAGCATATATGTATAAATGTATTTCATTTATCACACACACACATATGCATGCATTATAAATGTGAAATATATACCATATTCAATGGATCCTCATTTGTCGATTCTGTATTTGTGAATTTACCTGCATCTAAAATTTATTTGGAACCCTTCAAATCAATACTTGCAGAACATTTGTGGTCATTTGTGCATGTGCACAGAGTACCAAAAAAATTTTCACTGCTTGATGCTCTTGTTCCCAGCTGAGATAGAACAAAGGCCTTCTTTTTTCCACTCTCATGCTGTAAATAAGTGTCTTTTTTGTGGTCTATTTAGTGCTAGGTGTTTTGCATTATTGTGCTTTCTGTTGGTGATTTTGCTATTTTAAATGGCCCCCAAGTATAGTATTACAATGCTTTACTGTTCCTACACACAAGAAGGCTGTGATGGGAGGAAAATATGTGTATTATATAAGCTTCACATAGGTGTGAGTTGTAATGCTCACACCGAGAGCTCAATGTTAATGAATCAACAATATATAATAAATAAAGTGTCTCCAAACAGAAACAGATATAAATCAAGGTTATATACTGATTGGTTGATGAGAATGTGACCAGCAGCTCACAGGAACCTATGTATTTCCCTCAGGGATGCTGATGGTTCAGTATTCACTAATTCAGTGCTCACATGACTTTGCAGAACACCACTATCATGAACAATGAGAATAAACGACATATAGTATACACACACGTAAACACACACACAATAATTTTAGTAAGTGAATTTTGTTTACCATAACATCAATTTATTGTTTTAACAGCTATAAATGCAACCACCTTCGAGGACAACCGAGATGCATTTTTGCACCCAATTCCAAGTAAGAACAAAATACTTCAATTAAATGGATACATAAATATGTGGACACATTTTAGTATCTGCATGGTGATGCTGTTTCCCCAGTAAGGCATGATATGTGTGAGAGGGTAGCCTGGTGGCTGGCTTCACACCAGAGAGCACGTTTGCTGTTTTAGGAAAGTTATGGTTCCTGACAAGTGTTCGTCAGTGACCGTATCGCAGATGACTGTTTCCATCCTCCTGTTTTGTAACTTCTGTTCCTGAAACAGTAAACCAAGTGGAGGAGTAGGCAAGTGAACAATATATAGAATGCAGTTTTTTTTTAAATTGGTAGGCTTGTTTTTAGAGCAGCTTTAGGCTTACAGAAAAACTGAGTAGAAATTACAGAGAATTCTCATATATTCCCTCTGCTCAGTTTCCTGTATTATTAATGTCTTCCACTGGTACGGTGTGATTTTTTTTTAACAATTTGTGAG